TGACACCACCATGAAGATGTGGCACAACCACGAACGCGAAGCCAAACAACAGCAATGCAGCTCACCAGCTCAAATCCCCCTGCAACTCAGACTAATCTGAGCACAACCAAGCCCCCACCTAAACAGAACACACCACCATCCAATCAGAGCACAGCCAACCCCCCATCCAATCAGAGCACAGCCAAGCCCCCAACCAACCAGAACACACTTCCACCCAATCAGAACACAGTCAAGCCCCCACCCAATCAGTTCACACCCCCACTGGCAGTTAAAAGGAAGAAACAGCTGCGATCACACATTGCTCTTAGAAGCACGAAGCAGAAAACACCAGCCTGAAGATGACGAATGAGACTTCGTCGAAACGTCGCCAAGACACTTCCAATTTTACGCGGGAGAAAACCCGAATAACCAAAAACCTACATACAAACACCCGCGAAAACCTCAGAAAATCTATCTATCTATCTATCTATCTATCTATCTATCTATCTATCTATCTATAATATATAACTCTGACTGGATGGTGAGGAATGGAAGGATTTATATTGTGAAGCGGTATACAAATCTAAGTGCTGTTGCTATCACCTTCTAGGTAATACTTTTATAACAAAGCTCCTTATACCACATCACATTTGTTAGTCTTCCAGATGCCGTAAAATTCGTGTGTGTTCTCAATCTGTGATTTGAAGCTTGACATTTGTAGCACTTTGCTGAAATAAAGCTAGTGCAAACAGGGAGTCGAGAGCAATCTGATCAGTGCTACATACGTATTCTCTTTTATTAAATTTCCCTCCCACCCAACTTCCCAGTGCATTCTTTAAAAACGCTTCGTGCCTGTCATATGGCTTAGATAAATGTTTCTTTCATATATACATACGGGACTGCGCAGAACCTCAGAAGGTACACAAAAGGATGCATTTGTAAACAGATGGGCATAAAATAGCAAATATATACCCTTTAGGTCTTCATATACTCGGTGCCCGAGTGGGAATCAGACTGATGTGGTTTTAATTTTATTGTGAAAGAGAAGCAGGATGTAACTGTACAGAAGGTTTGATGATTATTTGTAAAGAGAATTTCCATCGAGCTGACAAATAGGCTTTAAACTCTCACAGCGGTGGTGAACTCATTCATAGAATAGAATAGAGTAGAATAGAGTAGAGTAGAGTAGAGTAGAGTAGAGTAGAGTAGAATCAGTGATGGGATTCAGCCAGTTCGCACCTATTCGGGAGAACCGGTTGTTAAAAGAAATCTTATGTTGGTTTTTTTCCACTTTACAGAGCTAATCCTGTAAGGAAGGCAGGAAGGAAACATTCTGGTGTTGTTTCTAGCCTAATCTTTATTGCCCTGCTTACAGAAACTGCCTCTGGTTAACTCTTATTACATTGTAACAGCTAAGGCGCTTCGCCCATAGACATGAATTGGCCATGCCCACACAGTCACATGACCACTGAGCCTTATCTACCCAGCTGGTCATTAGGGCAGAGAACCGATTGTTAAATTATTTGAATCCCACCACTGGATAGAATAGAATTCTTTATTGGCCAAGTGTGGTTGGACACACAAGGACTTTGTCTTTGGTGCATATGCTCTCATGTACATAAAAGGAAAAGTTACATTCGTCAAGAATTATAAGGTACAACACTTAATGATAGTCATAGGGTACAAATAAGTAATCAAATCATACTAGGAAACAATCAATATAAATTGTAAGGATACAAGTAACAAGGTTACAGTCATGCAGTCATAAATGGGAGGAGATGGGTGATAGGAACAATGAAAAGATTAATAATAATAGTAATGCAGATTTAGTTAATAGTTTGACAGTGTTGAGAGAATTATTTGTTTAGCAGAGTGATGGCGTTTGGGGAAAAAACTGTTTTTGTGTCTAATTATTCTGGTGTGCAGAATAATGTCGTTTTGACATAAAATAGTTTATGTCCAGGATGCGAGGGGTCTGTAAATATTTTCACAGCCCTCTTTTTGACTCGTGCAGTATACAGGTCCTCAATGGAAGGCAGGTTGGTAGCCATTGTTTTTTCTGCAGTTCTAATGATCCTCTGAAGTCTGTGTCTGTCTTGTTGGGTTGCAGAGCCAAACCAGATGACAGTTATGGAGTTGCAGGTGACAGACTCAATAGTTCCTTTGTAGAATTGTATCAGCAGCTCCTTGGGCAGTTTGAGCTTCTTGAGTTGACACAGAAGGAACATTCTTTGTTGTGCTTGATGACGTTTTTGATGTTAGGTGTCCATTTTAGGTCTTGAGATATGATAGAACCTAGAAAATTTGAAGGTCTTGACTGTTGATACTGTGTTGTCTAGTATTAGAATAGAATAGAATAGAATAGAATAGAATAGAATAGAATAGATGGAATGAAGAATAGAATAGAATAGAATAGAATAGAATAGAATAGAATAGAATAGAATAGATGGAATGAAGAATAGAATAGAATAGAATAGAATGGAATAGAATAGAATAGAATAGAATAGAATAGAATAGAATAGAATAGAATAGAATAGTTGGAATGAAGAATGAATGGAATGGAATGGAATAGAATAGAATAGAATAGAATAGAATAGAATAGAATAGAATAGAATAGAATAGAATAGAATAGAATAGAATAGAATAGTTGGAATGAAGAATGGAATGGAATGGAATGGAATAGATTGGAATAGAATAGAATAGAATAGAATAGAATAGAATAGAATAGAATAGAATAGAATAGAATCACTGATAGACCGCTATGGGTGTGGATTATAGCCTTCTCCTGTTTCTTTATTTAAAATATTTTTGTACTTGCATTAATGTATGAATTTTCACTTTACCTTCTGGTTCAAGGTAACCTGTTTCTATGGAGAAATCGCAGCTCTCCCCACCCTACACTGACTATAAGTAGAGAAATTAGAATTCTTCAAACTATGAGTGATAAGCGATTCTTTTTCCCTGCTATATATAATAAGCAAACAGATCTCAAATTAAAAAAAAAAAAGCTGGCAGTGTTAAGCACAGGAAATCAGGAATCCAGAAAATTCAAATGAATATAGGTTTACGGCAGTATTTCTCAACCTTGGCCGCTGGAGGATGTGTGGACTTCAACTCCCAGAATTCCCCAGCCAGCAGAGCTGGCTAGGGAATTCTGGGAGTTGAAGTCCACACATCCTCCAGCGACCAAGGTTGAGAAACACTGGTTTATGGTATACTAATGCTCTCTGCAAGAATCTGAACTACAGGTGGTTCTCGACTTATGACCGCAATTGATGTTAAGCGAGACATTTGTTAAGTGAGCTTTGCTCCATTTTACGTCCTTTCTGTCTGTCTGTCAGGGTTCCGAGTAACACCCCCAACGATTAACAGCAACAATTAAGTGAATCGCTGCACTTGCTAAGTTAATTGCATGGTTCTTAAGTGAATTTGGCTTCCCCGTTGCTTTTGCTTGTCATAAGGTCTCCAAAGTTGATCCTGTGACACTGGGACACTGCAACCTTCATAAATATGAACCAGTTGCCAAGCATCCGTATTTTGATCACTGACCATGGGGATGCTGAAACGGTTATAAGTGTGAAACATGGTGCTAAGTCCCTTTTTTTCCAGTGCCATTGTAACTTTGAACAGTCACTAAATGAACTGTTGTAACTCGAGGATTACCTGTACTCAGAGTCCAAGCAAATTGGCAGTAGATAAGCGGCAACGGAATTCAAGGTGGGCTGGACTTAGATCTCTTGTGGGCACGAAGGGACTCGAGACTAATGATGTTTTTGTCTCCTCCCTCCCTCAGGCTCAGCCTGGTCAACTCCTACAGGTGTCTTGTTAGTTTACTCTGTAAGAAACTTTAGACATGTGGGCCATCCTAAACCCTTCTGGTCTCGTCTGTCTTTCTTATCTATAACCTTTTGTTAAGGTAATGATGACTTACTAGCTGACCGGTTACTGTAAAGCTGTAAACCGAGATGATGAAATGAGAATGAGTCAGCAGGGTTATTTATTTATTTATTTATTATATTTATATGCCGCCCTTCTCCCGTAGCATTCAGGGCAGCTCACAGAATAAAAACAACATAACAATAAAAATGCTAAAACAAGCCAATTTAAAATCCCCAGACAATTAAAACCTCGCAACAGATCAGGGAATATGCTGAAAAAGCCATGTCTTCAGGTCAGCGCGGAAAGTGCGGAGGTTGGGGGCTGTCCGGAGCCTGGTGGATAACCCATTCCAGATGGTCGGTGCGGCCACAGAGAACGCCCTCATCCTGGGGGCTGCCAGCTGACATTGTCTGGCCGATGGCACCCGGAGGAGGGCAGCCCTATGTGAGCGCACTGAGTGGTGGGAGGCCGGTAGGAGGTGGTCCTGCAAGTACCCCGGGCCCATGCCATGAAGGGCTTTATAGGTGAGTACCAGCACCTTGAAGCGGATCCGAAGGGCCACCGGCAGCCAGTGCAGCTCGCGCAGGAGAGGTTATTGCCCCTTTAAGAAGCTGTCTATATAAGGGAGACCATTAGAGGGCGTCTCTCTCTCTCTCCTCTTGTATCTCTCTCTTCATCATGTTCTATCTGCATTGTAGCTCTTCAAGTAGAGTTGAAGATTGATTGCTTGCCTACCTTGTGTATGTCTGTATATAGAAGTCTTGTATGTAAACCATTGTCTGCAGTGACAAAACCTCTTTGTCCTGTATTTTGCTCCTGTAGTCATGCTGTAAACACTCTGACACCTTTTCCTTTTGTATAATTTTCTTACAAACCCTTCTAACCCCAGCAGAATGTTAGCTGAGTCAATGGAGTGTTTCCAGAGAATTGACGGCAAAGTTGGTTGTTGGGTTTTTTTTTTGTTTTTGTTTTTTGTGTAAGTTGGAGGAGGAGTTTTCCCTTGTATTTTCTGTAGGCTTAAAAGTTGTGAGCAAATTGAGTTCACCAAGGTCACTGTCACTCCCAGTAGCTCCCACAGAAATCTTGAACTCTCCGTCAGGCTGGCTTTCCGCAACACTTCTATTTCCCTTTTATGAGGTGCTGTCATTCTATTATCTGACTCCAGGTTGGTCTTTACCATTTTAACCTTTCGGGATGGAGAGAAGGAGGCAAGTACATTTATTTTAAATACACACACAACTCACACACACACACACAAACAGCTTGAGAATACCAAGTTGTATTTTGATCTCTGGCATTTTGATTTATCTTTTGTGAATATATAGCTTTTCAGAGAAAAGTCAAAACAGGCACCTTCCCAGCAAATGGTACAGAATAAAGAAATTTTGATTAATGTCGCCTGTGTTGATATTGAAAGTTGACCAAAACAACAACAACAACTTTAAACCTGCCTGACATTTGCATCAGAGAAGCAGATTTTGAACAAGCAGAAACTCTGATTTTTTTTTTAACTCTTTAAAATGTCACTTGCGCAAGATGGGAAGATCTGAGTATCACCGACAATTCATTAAGCCCACAATTGCCTCTTTCAATTGCCTGATTTGAAAATTCCTCTTTTCCCCTGAACTAGTTTCCTGTGCTATGAAATCAATTTTCTCATAACTTTTAAGTTTATCAAGATATAAAATACAAAAGAAAATGAACATTCTAGAAAAAATGGGAGGGGAGAAAGGGAGGAGAAAAAAATGTAGAGTAAAGATTGGGGGGAAAGAAAGAAAAATATTGACTTCTGAATCTTTCTAGAGCGGTAGAATAAGATAGATAGAATTCTTTATTGGCCAAGTGTGATTGGACACACAAGGAATTTGTGTTTGGCGCATACGCTCTCAGTATACATAAAAAGAGAAGATACATGTCAGGTTTCGCTGCTATCTTGAATAAACTTCATTCTCAAACGCAAGGTCTCTAATGAATCTTTTTTTTAATTTAAGAATAGAAAGAACGACATCCCTGAACTCTTTGTGAAGCCAAAACTGGCACCTCCTTCCAAACTCCTCCCTTTCTGTTCTTCAACCCCAATGTCTCATTGGCCATCGTGCAGATCCATCTCTTCGTCCCAAGTACTTTCTTTTCACAGGAATTCCCCCCTCCCTCTATCACCCAGGTAACGCTATCTGCTAAAGAGCAGGAAACTAGGTAAAAGTTCATCTCAGCATTAAAGCAAAGCTTCTCCCTCTCTCATTCATGTCAGCGCTGGAGGAGATCATAATTTGGAACGCTGACATCACATTCATCAAGAATCATAAGGTACAACACTTAATGATAGTCATAGTCAATAAATTAATAACATTGCAGCCTCAACTTCTTACTTTTACATACTAATATAAAAGCACATACTAGCCATTTCCATAAACAACAAACTTATCTAAACAGCAAAACCTAAAGTTTCAATTTTTTTCCCAGTCTCAATCAAACAGAAAATGCAGAAGTGATTTCCAAGCAGAAACAAAGTGGGATGGTTACTTTGCTTTGCTTAAAGCAATCAGTTTAGCCAGCTCTGCTAATTACAACAAATTTTTTTCCCCAGCCATTTTTACACTGTGAAATCAAGAAGACAGGGAAGAAACTTTGGGGCTATATTCAAGAGAGAAAATGCAAAGGGAAATAATTTTGTGAAGCTTGATAATGGCAAATCGAACCAGCCACGTTTAAATAACAGATAACAGATTAACAGAGTTGGAAGGGACCTTATAGGTCATCTAGTCCAACCCCCTGATCAAGCAGGAGACCCTACACCATTTCTGACAAATGGCAGTCCAATCTTTTCTTGAAAGTCTCAAGTGATGAAGCTCCCACCACTTCCGAAGGCAACTTCTGTTCCATCGGTTGATTGTTCTCACTGTCAGAAAGTTCCTCCTCATTTCTAGGTTGAATCTCTCCTTGGTCAGTTTCCATCCATTATTCCTTGTCTGGCCTTTGGGTGCCTTAGAAAAGAGCTTGACCCCTTCCTCTCTGTGGCAGCCCCTCAAATATTGGAAGACTGCTATCCTGTCTCCCCTGGTCCTTCTCCTCTCTTCACTAGACTAGCCAGGCCCAGTTCCTGCAACCATTCTTCATATGTTTTAGTCTCCAGTCTCCTAATCATCCTGGTTGCTCTTCTCTGCACCTTTTCTAGAGTCTCAAGATCTTTTTTATAGTGTGGTGACCAAAACTGGATGCAGTACTCTAGGTGTGGTCTTATATGATATGACAGAAAGGTGATTTATAATCACTCCTTATGTTAACCCAGAGGATGATGGTCTTTGGAAGAAACCACAGTTAAGTGTCTAAATATGTGGTGTGAATCCAGCCTCTCTCTTTTCTTCAGTTTTCCCTGACTAGAGAGAAGGGGGAAAAAATCAATACTTTTTTTTCCTCCTATAAGAAAGCAAGCTGACATTTTCTCGACTGTTTTAAAATTTGCCCAGCACCGCAAGCTGTTTATCTGCTGTTCCAGATCTTATTGAATTAAGTCAAATGGACGGAGGGAAGATGAAAAGGGAAGGAAGACAAAGGAAGATACTCTTTCTTTCTGGGTTGCCTGGTGAGGAGCAAAGCTCTTTAAATGCTCTGGAATATGCAGGAAAAGGGTCTAAGCAAGAAGAACGAATGATAAATCCATCAACTAACAAGATAAGTGCCTTGTTCCTCCATCTGTTACCGCTGGGTCCTTATCTGGGATTGGAGCATGGCAGTAGCGATCTATCTTCTGTCAGGTATTATATTCCAAACTCATATGAATGAATTTTCATGCTTGCAGCAATCTATGATCCAGGCCTGGGCTGTGCTGTGCTACACTTGTCCTGAGGCACTTTTTGTCTCTTTGCATTGCAAAGCCGATTTGAATCAACAGGGACGGAGAGGCAGGCTGTCTGCTAGCAATAAGCAAGAGGGGTGTTTTTTTTAACTGTCATTCTCTCTCTCTGGGAGTAGACATGTGGCAGCTTCTACTCTGCTGCTTCTGCAGAAGAAAGAAGGAAGGAAGGAAGGAAGGAAGGAAGGAAGGAAGGAAGGAAGGAAGGAGAGAGAGAAAAAGAGGGAGGAGAGGAGGGAAGGAGGAAAGGAGGGAGGGATGGAAGAAGACAGGAAGGAAGGTGAGAGAAAGAAGGACAATGGAAGGGAAGGAAGGAGGGAGAAAGGAAGAAACAATTACTACCAACCTTCCTTCCATTGAGGACCTGTATACTGCACGAGTCAAAAAGAGGGCTGTGAAAATATTTACAGACCCCTCGCATCCTGGATATAAACTGTTTCAATTCCTACCCTCAAAGCGACACACACCAGAACAACTAGACACAAGAACAGTTTTTTCCCAAATGCTATCACTCTGCTAAACAAATAATTCCCTCAACACTGTTAAACTAGTTACTAAGTCTGCACTACTATTAATCTTCTCATCATTCCCATCACCCATCTCCTCCCACTTATGACTGTATGACTGTAACCTTGTTGCTGGTATCCTCAAGATTTATATTGACTGTTTCCCTATGACGATCATTAAGTGTTGTACCTTATGATTCTTGACGAATGTATCTTTTCTTTCATGTATTCCGAGAGCGTATGCACCAAGACAAATTCCTTGTGTGTCCAATCACACTTGGCCAATAAAGAATGCTATTCTATTCTATTCTAAGAAAGAAGGAAGGAAGTGAAGAGAAAAAGGGAGGAGAGGAGAGAAGGAGGAAAGGAGGGAGGGATGAAGAAAGGAAGGAAAGTAAGAAGGAAGGTGAGGGAGAAAGAAGGTGAGAGAGAAAGGAGGAGGGAAAAGAAGGAGGGAGGTGGGGATAGAGGGAGAAAAGGAAGGAAGGAAGGAAGGAGGGAGGGAGGGAGGGAGGGAGGGAGAAGGACAGAAGGAGGAAAGGGGAGAGGGATGGAAGGAAAAGGAAGGGTTAGGATTAACCTACAAGACTTCTCCAGGGAGGTACTGGCTCCAAGGGCATTCTACAAATCACCATCACTTTGAGCACCTCCTTTGCCTCTTTCATAACCTTCTTAAAAACATTTTTCGAGAGAAAAATAAATATCATCCCTCCCAATTTTAAACATTATTTCCCTAAGCTGTTCCAAACAAATGAAGAAAAATTCAAGAGAATTCCTTGGTTTAATGAGTGATAGCTTGGTCGAACTGAATGTATTCCAAATAAGATTTCCTTCAGCACAATTATAGGGAGAGAGAAAAAAAGAGAACAAAATTGAGATAATACAATAATTCTAATGAGTGGCACAAAAGAAATCCATAAATGTAACTGCAAGCTGTAAAAGGCCATGCCAATTCAAATAATGGCAAGTGCTTTATTAAATTTGTTGACCAATCATCATCTTTCATTTTCCGAAATCATGCAGATTTTCTTAGTCTTGCCATAACTCTAATGAAGTAATTCAGCTGTCTTATTGTCTACCTCCCTCCTCTGTTCTTTAAACCTGTAATGCAGAATTTAATTGAAAACAACTCTGGACTCTCCCAGCACCATGCAATATAATTTTGAGTGTATGTACAGGTCAGAGAAGAAATTTAATGAGTTTCATTTGTTTATTCAAATGTACATCTGTCAAATGCCAGTATAAAACAACGAATTTAAGAGACAGACACTCACCCAAAGAAATAGAGGCATTAAAATCCTTTCCACAACAATATATATATATATATTTGTTTTCTGAGGTTTTCGCGGGTGTCTGTATGTAGGTCTTTGGTTATTCGGGTTTTCTCCCGCGTAAAATTGGAGGTTTCTTGGCAACGTTTCCACGAAGTCTCATTCATTGTCTTCAGGCTGGTGTTCTCGGCTTCGTGCTTCTAGAAAGCAGGAGAAAACCTGAATAACCAAAGACATATATACATACATACATACATACATACATAACATACATACATACATATATATATATAGTCATAAACTTGAGAGCTTAACCACTATCCATTAAAATTGGGTTTCATGAGAAATTACCTGGTAATAAAGTCCTTTTGAAGACAATACAGTTTACTCCCAAGTAAACAATTGGTTTATTGGTTTAGGGGCTTCCAACTGTGAATTTCAAGAGCTGTGGAGCCATGGTGGGACTAGTATCATCGTTCTTAAAACATGCTAAGATTTGTGCAAGCAAAGCGGAAATACTTGCAAGCTTGCTCTAGGCTTAGTTCCCCACTTCGCCCTATGCAAACATTCTGGAGTCCTGTTCAACAAAGCAATGGCTGGTTTTCAAAGCACTTTCCCTTTGCTTGTTGCAGGAAAAAAAAATGGCAATTTTACATAAATTTACTCTTGTTTTGTTTGCTGAAACTCCAATGGGCAGTTGCTGTACCAGAAAGTTTGAGAACCTCTGTACAAGGGCCTGCTTCTTGAGTTACAATTGTTGGTAATCATCTATTTCAATGATTTGATAACTGAAGGATCATTCAGAGTTGATCTAAAATAGTTTTCTTGATCATAACCAGGGGTGAAATCCAGCAGGTTCTAACAGGTTCTGCAGAACAGTAGTGGAAATTTTGAGTAGTTCAGAGAACTGGCAACTATCACCTCTGGCTGGCCCCAGAGTGGGGTGGGAATGGAGATTTTGCAATATCCTTCCCCTGCCACGCCCATCAAGTCACGCCCACAGAACTGGTAGGGAAAAAAATTTGGATTTCATCCCTGACCATAACTGATAATTTAATTGGGCCAAACTATGTTATAATAATAATTTTAATTAGCAATTTTATGATGTTTGTGTATCTATATTTTTTCTTGACTGTACACCGCCTTGAGTCCTACGGGAGAAAGGCGGTATAGAAATAAAATAAAATAAAATAAAATAAAATAAAATAAAATAATAATGTCTATCTCCCTGCCATCCCTATGATCATACAGTAGTGGCCAAAATTGTGGAAACCTTTTGGGAAAAGTGTAGTTTTGAGGTTTGATGGCTAATAACACCACTTTTTTAGGGAGTTTCAGGATAATCCTATTCCACTGCTGGAATGGCCTGGGAATAGGCCAGACCTTAACCCAATTGAAAATCTATGGAGCCGACTAAAGAAATTTGTTAGTCAGAAGCGACCCAGCAATAAAACCCAGTTAATAGAAGCAATCCTTCAATCTTGGTTTCACATTAGAACAGCTGCAGAAGTAAAAGACTTGGTTCACTCCATGGGAAGACGTTGTAAGGCCATAATTCATGCTAAAGGTTACCCAACTAAGTATTAACGGATGTGGTGATCATTTTTGTATATCTCGTCTTTTTCTACGTGTTTCACTTTTCTTCTTTATACTGTAACTGCTATTCTAATAGCAAATCCTTTATAAAAGTTATTGCATTACATTCTTGATTAAATTATTTTTCCATTGATATATAATTTTATGGTAGTACTCCAAAAAAAAAAAAAAGTGGTGTTATTAGCTAGTTTTAGAAAATACACTTTCCCCAAAAGGTTTCCACAATTTTGGCCACTACTGTAGATTTGTTCCCTTGATGATGGAGCGTAGCATCTGAGAGAATAATATAAAATTGTAAGCCATGGGGGCAGTGAGACATCAATGCTCAATTTGTAGGGAAAGAGTAGAGTGGAAGGTGGATTACAGATATCCAGCAGCTATAAATCTACTACTTGAATATTAAATGCACGTACATGGCTGTTTTTCCTTTCCACTCCTGTTTTAGCCTTATCACAATCTAACTTGGCTAAGAAATAGTGATAGCACTTAGACTTATATACCGCTTCACATTGCTTTACATCCCTCTCTCTGAGCAGTTTACAACGTCAGCATATTGCCCCCCAACAACCTGGCTCCTCATTTTATCAACCTGGGAAGGATGGATGGTTGAGTCAACCTTGAACCGGTTAGGATCGAACTCCTGACAGTGGGCAGAGTCAGCCTACAATACTGCATTCTGACCATTGCATCGCCCTGTGGGCATCTTATCACGTGGGCATCTTGCACTTTTGCTTTCGTATTGACGTTTTGCACATATATATCTTTGGAAGGGGAACTTCTTCAGACAGTTTTGGAAAGTGCGAGCTTGAGCACCTGTGCACAGGTCTTTTAAAAAAAATGCTCATTGGTTCTAGGCTGTGAGCAGAGTTTGCTTGTAAAACTGTGTGGTACCTTGTTCAATAGTAGTAACTGTGAGAGGGAGCTTGGAGTCCTAGTGGACAACCATTTAAATATGAGCCATCTGTGTGCAGCAGCTGCCAAAAAAGCCAACACAGTTCTGGGCTGCATAAACAGAAGGATAGTATCAAGATCACGTGAAGTGTTAATGCCACTTTATAATGCCTTGGTAAGGCCACACTTGGAATACTGCATTCAGTTTTGGTTGCCACAACATAAAAAAGATGTGGAGACTCTAGAAAGAGTGCAGAGAAGAGCAACAAAGAGGATTAGGGGACTAGAGGCTAAAACATATGAAGAACGGTTGCAGGAACTGGGTACGTCTAGTTTAATGAAAAGAAGGACTAGGGGAGACATGATAGCAGTGTTCCAATATCTCAGGGGCTGCCGCAAAGAAGAGGGAGTCAAGCTATTCTCCAAAGCACCTGAGGGTAGGACAAGAAGCAATGGGTGGAAACTAATCAAAGAGAGAAGCAACTTAGAACTAAGGAGAAATTTCCTGACAGTTAGAACAATTAATCAGTGGAACAACTTTCCTCCAGAATGCTCCAACACTGGAAGAAGATGTTGGATAACCATTTATCTGAAGTGGTGTAGGGTTTCCTGCCTAAGCAGGGGGTTGGACTAGAAGACCTCCAAGGTCCCTTCCAACTCTTTTATTCAATTCTATTGCATTCTAAACACTGTGCCACCAGGGCTCCTAACAATAATCATTGAGTAGGATCAAGTTTAACATTCATTGGCCTAGTTATCCTTTGTACAAACCTCCAATTTACTCTTCTAGAAGGCCCTCCTTGAATAAAAGGTACCACTTACGTTTCTCCTTCTATGCGGCCTTGGTGGATTTGACTCACTCCATAGATGCTTTAACATCCCAGTTCTAATTTCAGTTAAGCAGCCAACCTTCTCCCAAAGCCAGGACATGGGCTCCGGAATCCATTCCTAATTCTTCCACCAGCTTTGATTCATCGGCTTCACAACATCATTATCCAGCATCTCCTGGGGAAGTGAAGGAAATAGAAGATCTTACAGCCGGATAAATACCATTTGTTTGTTGTTAGTTTCTCTTATGAGGACTGATAGCATCCCTTGTTCCTGACATAGCAGTTATTATTAATTTTCCTGTGTTTGCACTTGGATTTATGCTAACAGCAAAGAATGATAACAACTAGTGTCAAACTTTATAATTGGTTGCGAAAATGTGGGAGGGGGAGAGCGGAGGAAGGAATAAGCTATTTATAATCCTAGGAGGCTGCCATGAGAAAACAAGGTGTTTCTTGGCAGATGTCTATATCGAACTTATGCACCATGTGCTGGATGAATATCCATAATTTGCTCCTCTCCATATTTAACAAACACATGGAAACTTCTATGTTAGTGGGGAGCAGAAAATAGGTCGATTTCTTGCCAGCAAAATGCACGAGATTTTTGATTGCTGTTTGTGGTTCCTCCAGAAGATTTGGTGGCTCAGCTGTACACGGGCACAGCCCTTAATTTGGGTAGAATTATTTATTTAGGAAATTTAGATCAAGGCAGACCAATAAAGGTAACAAAAATGAAACAGGTATGATTCAGGGATGAAATTCAGCAGGTTCTGATAGGTGCTGGAGAACCAGTAGCGGAAATTTGGAGTAGTTTGGAGAACCGGCAAATACCACTTCTGGCTGACCCCAGAGTGGGGTGGGAATGGAGATTTTGCAGTATCCTTCCCCTGCCATGCCCACCTAGCCATGCCCACCAAGCCACATCACACCCACCAAGCCACGCCCACAGAACCGGTAGTAAAAAAAAAAAAAAAGAAAGAAATCCAACACTGGTATGATGAATAAAAAACACCAAAGTTGAGGCATCCTCAATTCCAAACTCACCAGAGTTATCACATTCTGTAAACAACCTGGCCTTATTAATATCTGAGGGGAAAACTAGTTTTTTTATAAGTTTCCCAAAGGCCAGTAAGGTTGGGGCCATTTATATATCCAGAGGAGGCTGTTCCATAGGGCAGCCACTGCATGATAGAAATTCCAGTGACAGATTAACAGAGTTGGAAGGCACCTTGTAGGTCATCTAATCCAACCCCCACCCAAGCAGGAGACCCTACACCATTTCTGACAAATGGCAGTCCAATCTCTTCTTGAAAGTCTCTGATGGCAACTTCTGTTCCATTGGTTGCTTGTTCTCACTGTCAGAAATTTCCTCCTTATTTCCAGGTTGAATCTCTCCTTGTTCAGTTTCCATCCATTATTCCTTGTCTGGCCTTCGGGTGCCTTGGAAAATAGGTTGACCCCCCCTCCTCTCTGTGGCAGCCCCTCAAATACTGGAAGGCTGCTATCCTGTCTCCCCTGGTCCTTCTCTTCACTAGACTAGCCAGGCCCAGTTCCTGTAACCGTTCTTCATATGCTTTAGTCTCCAGTCCCCTAATCATCCTGGTTGCTCTTCTCTGCACTCTTTCTAGAGCCTCAACATCTTTTTATAGTGTGGTGACCAAAACAGGATGCAGTATTCTAGGTGTGGTCTTACTAAGGCTTTATAGAGTCGTATTAGTACCTCCCTTGATCTTGATTGTATCCCTCTGTTAATGCAATTTAGGATTGCGTTGGCTCTTGTGGCTGCCGCTGCACACTCTTCACTCATATTTAATTGGTTGTCCACTAAGACTCCAAGATCCCTCTCACAGTCACTGCTATTAAGCTGGTGAGTGGCAGGTTTGCTTCTCATTGGGATCAGCGTTGGAACAGAAATGGTGCTTTTTCATTTGTTGAATATCTATGGAGATTCTCAGTCATCCAGGTCATAGTTGTCCCAAAGGTGCATTTTCAAAAGGCAACTGGACTCGAAGGCATTTCGCTTCTCATCCAGGGTAGCTTCTTCGGTTCTGACTGAATGGTGGGGAATCAATCAGAAGAAGCTTCTCGGCTGAGAAATGAAACGTCTTCAAAGAAAAATAAAGTCCAGTTGTCTTTTCAAAACGCATCTTTGGGACTTTCATTTGTTGGTTTCCCCCCCCCTTCATTGCTGGATTGGTCTTCTTACCTTCTCTAGTGGTGCCATTAGAGCACAAAGCAAGATCCCTAGAAGGTAGTTTTCAAAGACATCTGATAGTTGCAACATTACAGGTGAGAAGGAGGGAGAGATCCTAATACTTTCCTGCCATTGAGAAAGAAGCAAGAGAAACAGCTACCAGAAGATGGTTGGGCAGAAACTGTAGGTATCTTTTATTTTTATTTTATTTTATTTGTTTATTTGTCAAGTACATATTAGATACCTTCTCTTGCTTAGATTAAACTATAAAACAGTGGAAAAAAAATGTGTGGTGAAGTTCCTCCCTCAATAAACATCATTTTTCATGGTGAAGGTCTATGTACTTTTTGAAGGGCATGTGCTCCTTTCATTGAATTGTATGCTCATAGAGAATTGGTGGCTCAGATATGCTCTGGTGTTTGCAGGAGACGCCCCAACGATCAAATCAGGATGGGCATCCAGTTCACAAGCAAAAAAGGGGAGGTACTGGGAGACACACACACACACACACACGAAGGTGGCAAAAACATTCCCTACCAGTGGTGAAATCCAATTTCTTTTACTACTGGTTCTGTGGGCATGGCTTGGTGGGTGTGGCAGGAGAAGGATACTGCAAAATCCCCATTCCCTCCCCACTCCTGGGGGAAGGATATTGCAAAAACTCCATTCCTACTCCACTCTGGGGCCAGCCAGAAGTGGTATTTGCTGGTTCTCCGAACTGCTCAAAATTTCCGCTACCGGTTCTCCGAACTGCTCAAAATTTCTGCTATTGGTTCTCCGAACTGCTCAAAATTTCTACTATCGGTTCTCCGAACTGCTCAAAATTTCCACTACTAGTTCTCCGAGCGGCTCATAATTTCTGCTACCCGTTTTCCAAACTGCTCAAAATTTCCACTACCGGTTCTCCGAACTGCTCAAAATTTCCACTACCGATTCTCCAGAAGCTGTCAGAACCTGCTGGATTTCACCCCCGCTCCCCCCCCAAAAGGAAATTCAGAATGTTGGGCAGGTTTTTAAAATTTCTACCTGTTTGATTGCTTTTTTGTGTGTGTTTGGAATCTTCTTTTAGCTGCTTTGAAATACCGGTTTAGAAAAAAAGGGAATTTAGGCCTGTCCATGCATAGAAAGAATAAATAGGAAGAAATGAACCTCCAGGAGGGCCCCATCCATAGACAGCAGCTGCAAAAAGGATCAATAAGAGACATGCAGGCTCTGTACCAGTGACAAGACCTTCTGGAGCAGAAGGCAACAGTTGGAAACTATCTACTTATGTACTTCTAAGTAGCAAGCAAGCAATAAATTAGTAAAAAAAAGGCCTTGGTACAGATTCCTTTTAATTTCAGATGGGATTTATTCAGCTGCTTGGGCAGGTTGCTCCTATTGAGTCACCCCAGGATCTCTGGTTGAAGGTGAAATCAATCTCTTTCTCTGTATGAGGCTTGGGACTGCATTCATATTGATTTATTCAACAGAGAGAGAGAGAGAGAGAGAGAGACAAAAATGGCAGAGAGGGAAAAAGAAATACTCCTTGCCACTGAACGAGGCTGGCACTTCCGTAGGTAGAATACCAAGTGGAAGGTGCATTAATCATTTCAGGGCTGGTCGTGAGGTGTGCTCGGCATTTGTCTTCTATATTAAAAGGGAGGTTGAGTCCCAGGGAACAGACAGACAGGCGAAGGATCGGCTCGGGGCTGGGGGAAGGAAGGGAGATGAAAACCTCTGAATCCATTAGCAGCTCTGGTCTTCCTCCAGCTGCCTATCTCTGTCCGTTTCATTTTGCCTCGCCCTCCTCTTCCTCTTCCAGCTGCCTGCAGCCCAAGGCAAGGAAGAAGAAAAGGGCTCCCGGTGCTTTCTTTTTTTGACACCGTGGCGATGACCCGCATTACCAAAAGGCAGGTTGAGTTACTCTACGCCTGGAGGCAATGTGAGATGAGCCTCCGGGGTTGTTCCACCATCCCACCCCACAGCGGAACGCCAGGTTATTTTTTTGTCTCCAGCAATCCATTGAAGAGGTGATACAAGAGTTGTAGAATGTGAATGAGCTGGAGGGAGATGGTTTGGGGGAGATGGCATGAAGAAGAGTGTGTTCTCCGTTCCTAATGAAGCCTCACCAATGTTGGGCTGGTGACAGGTTCTGCCCCTCCCCGTGTTAATACGCCTTCCAATTAAGCCCCATGTATGTTTGGGGGAAAAGGCGAGAAGAAAATGTTGGAGGATCTTCTTCAGATGAAGCGGCTGTGCAGTAGTGGCCAAAATTGTGGAAGCATTCTAGGAAAAGTGTATTTTCTAAAACTAGCTAATAACACCACTTTTTTTAGGAGTAAGGTAAAGGTAAAGGTAAAGGTTCCCCTTGCACATATGTGCTAGTCGTTCCCGACTCTAGGAGGTGGTGCTCATCTCTGTTTCAAAGCTGAAGAGCCAGCGATGTCTGAAGATGTCTCCGTGGTCATGTGGCCGGCATGACTCAATGCCAAAGGCGCACAGAACGCTGTTAGCTTCCCACCAAAGGTGGTCCCTATTTTTCTACTTGCATTTTTTTACGTGCTTTCGAACTGTTAGGTTGGCAGAAGCTGGGACAAGTAACAGAAGCTCACCCAATTACGCAGCACTAGGGATTCGAACCGCTGAACTGCTGACCTTTCGATCGACAAGCTTAGCGTCTTAGCCACTGAGCCACCACGTCCCCATTTTTTGGGAGTTGTAACATAAAATTATGTCTCAATGGAAAGATAATCGAATCAAGAATGTAATGCAATAACTTTTATGAAGGATTTGCTATTAGAATAGCAGTTACAGTATAAAGAAGAAAAGTGAAACACGTAGAAAAAGATGAAATATACAAAAATGATCACCATGTCAGTTAATACTTAGTTGGGTAACCTTTAGCATGAATTATAGCCTTACAACGTCTTCCCATGGAGTGAACCAAGTCTTTTAGCTCTGCAGCTGTTCTAGTGAGAAACCAAGATTGAATGATGGCTTCTATTAACTGGGTTTTATTGCTGGGTCGCTTCTGACTAACAAGTTTCTTTAGCCGGCTCTGTAG